CCAGCCCTAGTTTTTTAATCTTAAAAAAAGAAACAAAAGTAAAAACAGAATACAGAGTAAGGAGAAAGGGAGGAGGAGGAGGAGGAGGAGGAGGAAAGAAAGTAAATGGTCCTTGGTCCTGGAAGTTGGCTGTATGTGGGAAGCTTTGCAGCTAAGATGCTGTAGAGTATCCTACACAGAGGCCGGGAGAGGTACAGGGGGTGAAAATGCTCGCTGTGCAAGCCTGACTATCTGAGTTTGATCCCCAGATCCCACAGGGAAGAGGAGAAGAGAATCATTCCTAAACCTTGCCCTGTGACCTCTTCACACATGCCATGGTATGCACATGCCCACACTCACACACATCATCATCATCAACTAGAATATCTTAGTTTTGGAATCCTTTTTCTGGCCCTTACAGAGTGTTCCATTAAAATGTAAATACAGAGGGCTGGAGAGATGACTTAGTGGTTAAGAGTACTTGTTGCTCTTGCAGAGGACCTGGGTTCCATTCTAAGTGATGGTTCATAACCATCATCTGCAACTCCAGTTCCAGGTGATGCCCTCTTCTGACTTCCATGAGTACCAGGCACATATGTGGTATGCACATGGCACATATACATACATTCAGGTAAAACACTCATATACATAAAAAATAAACTACCAGTCAGTCATGGCACCATGCATCTATAATCTCACCAGTGGCCTCTCCTGGCCTCTTACAGTGCTAAGCTTCAGCTGCTCTTCATGACTCGGAATCCTTAAATCCTGTGTGCAGACCCTGAGTAGACAATTCTCAAAAGATTTTGCCTCAATGATGTTGGTCTTTTAAACACAACTGATTCTTCAGCACGAACTGACCAGACCCACAGATTCTTAAAAATACCCAATGGGCCAGGCGTGGTGGCACACACCTTTAATCCCAGCACTCCAGAGGCAGAGGCAGGTGGATCTCTGTGAGTTTGAGGCCAGCCTGGTCTACAGAGTGAGTTCCATGACAGGCACCGAAGCTACACAGAGAAACCTCCCCCTGCCCTGGGGTGGGGGGGAACCTAATGGCCCTCATGGAGTTTTTTAGGAACGTTGAAACTTCATGAACCAGCTCTCTACCATCTGCTCTGCTCTCGGTGGTACCTTCTAAGTTCCCATATATCTTAGAGTTGCTAATGGCTATGATGAGACACCAGGACCAAAAAGCAAATTAGGGAGGAAAGGGTTTATTTGGCTTATACTTCCACATTGTAGGCCGTCTTTGAAGGGAGTCAGGACAGGAACTCGGAGTGGGAGCCTAAAGGCAGAAACTGATGCAGAGGCCGTGTGGAGCTATTTCTTATTGTCTTGCTCATCATGGCCTGCTCCACTTGCTTTCTTGTAGAATCCCAGACCACCAGTCCAGGGATGGCACCACCATAATGGGCTGGGCCCTCCCCTATCAACCATTAATTAAGAAAATGCCTTACAGCCAAATCTCATGGAGGCATTTTCTCAACTGAGGTTCCCTCCTCTCAGATAACTAGCTTATGCCAAGTTGACATAAAATTAGCCAGCACAGCATAATAGCTCATTAATTTCTGAACACACAATGACTTTTCCAACCCAAAGTTCCAAATTTTTCCAAAAACAACATGGCCAGGTCTGTTATAGCAATAATCCCATGAACCCGGTACCAATTTCTGCCTTAGGTTTTTTAAACTGTGATAAAAACAACCATGACCAAAAGCGACTTGGGGAGGAAAGGGTTTATTTCAGTGTACAGCTCTCAGGCCACCCTTCGCCACTGAGAGAAGTCAGGATAGGAACCTGGAGGAGTGCCTGCCATTTACTGGCTTGCTCATTCATGCCCTGCTCAACTTGCTTGCTTATACAAGTCAGGACCACCTGTCCAGGAGTGGCACTATCCACTGAAGACTAGACCCACTAACATCAGTCATTAATCAAGAAAATGCTCTACCAGCCAGGTGTGGTGGCACACACCTTTAACCCCAGCACTCAGGAGGCAGAGGTAGGTGGATCTCTGTGAGTTCGAGGCCAGCCTGGTCTGTGTAGTTTTAGGACAGCCAGGGCTACAGAGAGAGAACCTGTCTTTAAAAACGGAAATAAATGCACTACAGACTTGCCTTCAGACAATCTGGTGGGGACGTTTTCTCAGTGGACTCTAGTTCGTGTCAAGTTGGCAAACAAACAAGACCAGCACAATTATAAAACCAGATCCTTCCTCTCCATAGAGAACGCCCCAGAGCACCAGCTCTGAGGATAGGGTGCTAGACAAAAGCCTTGCTCTGTCCAAAAGCTGGTTCTACGGGGCACAATGACGATTCTCATATCCTTCTACATGGATCAGAAGAGAGATGAACAGCCCTCCCTAACGTCTCAAGGGAGCTTGGCTGGAGGAAAGAGCTTCACAGAGGACCATCCTCTGCTTCGAGATAGGCTTAATCATCTCGTCATGTCTAGCTCTCTAAAGTCCTGCCTCCTTCCAAAGCTTCCCTAAGATGCTCAGCGATCTCTGGCTTCCATTCCTCCTTAAGCTACTTTCTCATCCTCAAAACTCACTTGCCTATCAGGAAGTTGCTTCTTCTTTCTCATCTCTGCC